AAAAGTGCTCAATTTCCATTCTTAACTAGCAGGTTTATGGTTGCAGACTTCCAATTGGAGAGTCGGCAGGAAGTAGTTAATGATGCCAAAAAAAACAAGACTAATTACTTAGCCATGATGGAAGAAAAACCATCCACATCTCGGAGGTGATCCCCTGGGGGTCTGAGGATGTACACCTTGTAAAGTTTAGCAACTCCTCTCGAATGATGTCCCCGGCGGAGAGGACTGTTTTTGTGGAAAGTACTTCCTCGTTATCCTAAGCTAATGGGCGGAGGGCGAGTTATTTTGTTAAGGGGACCAGTAGACCTGGGAAAGATGATCAACCTTATCTTTGTCATCGGAGAACATTCATCGTTTGCAGGAGAGGTAAGTCAAGCTGGTATACCTAAATCTGTTTGCTGTTATCCTTCTTCCTCGCTTTTGTAAGGCAATATCATCGGGTCGGGGGAAATTGTCTGGCTTAATTTGGCAGACGACGCAACTTTCTTCTTCAATAAAGACAACGGTTTCAATGATGGCAGCAGCTTGGCACATTTGAAACTCCCGACTGGCTTGGTCCATTTCAAAATCCTAACTGTCCTCAGTGAACTCCACCGTGAAAACTCTTTGAAAAAAATTAGACAGTAGTTGCACTTCATGTGGCCCTTCAACGAATGAGCGTCCGAGGCTATCCTTTAGACACGTAATTGTGTCCCTGTTTTTGCGCCTACTTCAGATGGGGCATTAACAGATTCTGCACTCAGTCGGCGTTTATAAGATGTTTATGCAACTCGGATTTGTTTGCTGTAAATATGCAGTCCTGCCTTTGATTTGGAAAATGTATTGGAATATCAAATATGTAAATACTTTTTCACAACCTCTGTTTCTTCCTCATGATCATTTTGCAGTCAGAATGACCCAATGCAGTCGTCTACATGGTTTTATTACTTTACAGGACAGTGCGATTCAATTAGGTGCTCTACAACTTCCTGTAAGTACTGGCAGTACACAATTTTAAAGGACTGTGCAGGTAAATACGACACATTTTTAATTGTGAGATTTTTTAATACCGTTTAATGGCCGTTCATGAAACATCATGTATCTGCATTTACGAATGTGGCTTGTAAAGTTGACAATATTGCTCAAATCCACTGCTTAAATTTATGAACCTCATATGGTCTCCCCTCAACACCGTAGGAAAATTCATGGTTTTCCGTTAACAGAAAAAATGCAGCTTGTAGTTTTGAAACCCTGAATGCAAGTGTATTAACAGGTCGGGTTCTAAATTATTCGGGAATTAGAAAAGTTTTTTTAAACCGAATTATACTATTCTTTTGAGTATGAAGTTGGAGGAAGACGTGATTTTCTACCGAATAAGTAAGTGAATGAATATTTTTATGCATGCTTTCCGTGAAATACAATTGACTATTCAAGGTCATCGAAAATCAATGAGAAAATTGCATATTACATAAGTAGTCATTTTTTGCAGAGTCTAGACATTGCATGCAGCCGAATATAAGTTCTTTCGAAAGCCGACACCCTGAGGTAACTGGATCATTATAGATTTATGCTGCATCATGATTCGTTTTTAACACTAATTAATTTATCTTTTCCAAACGAGAACGCATTTCGAAATTTTGGTTGACATTTCATGAGTTAGCACATCTACTGTAAATTCTACACATTTTTAAATATCCGATATAAAAACCCGCCGATATTTGACGATGAAACTTGCATGCATGTTTCGCCGATATTCTGCCGCTGAATGGCGCCGGTGTGAGGGGTTGGGCTCGTCAGTGGGTCCCCTAGCATTTTCTGGTAGATACGTCTATTTATAAATTGTCCCTTTTTTATTGCCATAAGGAAAATATTTTTTCTTTAATACTAAGGGATGCTGGAGGACCCACTGAAGACTCGGATTCCTCGCAACTATGCCATGCAGCGGCATAATATCGGCGAAACACGCGTGTATGGGCCTTTGGCCTTTTACCCGTGCTGTAAGTATGGTATCACTTTACCCTAAAGTATACTACTGCTGCCTGTCGGTAGTTAATGAATATTACGCGGTTAGACGCTGTGGCTGATGGACTTCGACCCCAATACGCATACATAAAATTCTCGGTCAGAGCCTGTAGATAATTTGTGAGGAAATAAGATAACCCTGTTTTATCGTCACCTTTCCGGTTTTCTCGGTTTGCACGGAAGATTTGAAATCCAGGCATTATAAACTTCGGTCGTAAGCCCGTTCAGACAACCGTGTTTCTGTTACAAAGACCACGTCTATGTAGGAGCGCGCAAATAGGGATATGTAATTTCTCCATTTTCGTAAACACAATTTGCGCTCTAACAAACATAACTTTGAGTTTGATGTTCATAAGAGACCCATTCACAACACCAACACTGCCTTCTTCTGTAGCTGTGGGATCCTTCAGACAGACTTGATCGACAGAGAAACTGAATGGCCTTCTAGTATCTGGTCTTTGTGGATTATCAAGATCTGTTCTCCGTTAATTCATTGTGTTCAAAATTCTAGGATTATTTTGAGGAATTTCATCCACTCCTCATATGAGTGGTCCTGCTGAGAAAACACAGCCCTTTTGAAATGCTTCAGTCAAAAGAGCATACAAATGGGCTTTTGGCTAGTACCTGTCCTGTTAATATGGTATCACCTTACCATAACGTATACTACTAGCTGCATGTTGGCAGTTAATAAATAGTACGCGCTTACCCGCTGTGCTGATGGACTTTGGTCCAAATAATCATGTATAAAACTATCGGCATGTGCCTTTAGACCTTGAATAAACTGATCTACTCCAACTGCGTAGATAATTTCTGAGGAAATTAAAAAACGACAAATGGTAAGTTTCATGTGTTGTATGCTTCATAGGATGACTTTAAATGGTCGGCGTCGTCTTTGTGAAGTGACGGTAGAACAACTGCTTGAACGAAATGGCGGCAAGATCCCATTTCGTAGCTGTACCAGTTAGGGGTTAAGTTAGGAGATAGGGCAAGGGGTTAGGTTTATGGGCTGGGGTAAGGGTTAGGGGTCAGGATTAGGGGTTAAGGTTAGTAGTTGGAGTCTGGGGTTAGGGGTTGGGTTTAGAGGTTGGGGTTAGGGGTTAGACTGGGGTTTGTCTGCTGCGTGCACGGCTAATAAGATCCGACCGAAACGCCTTTAGGAAGATAATGTATTACAACGGTTACAGCATGTCGGTGAGGAACTTATAGAATCGTAATTCTTCCCCTGCATCATACTTGTGCCTAAATCGACTAATGTCAACGCTTGAAACAATTCGCCAACCTGTACAGTCTTGATATTTTTTGCGCAATTGTTCGACGATCCTTTTGGCCAAACACGACCATTGCCTGTTGCAAATAGAGATTTCAAGAATGCACAGACCTAGACTTCCTACGGAAACTGAATTGACCCACAGGCATGATCTCATACAAACTGTGTCTTTGTAGAAGCCCACCTCCCGAGTGTGTATGAAGAGCTGCCCCAGTGTAAATGAGGGAACCGGCGTTCGAGAATAAGACTGCTGACAAGCACATTTTCCATGAAAGTCGAATGCACCTTGACAAAATGCCACCGTCTCCAGTACTATCTTAAGGTCTTAGTGTGAACGTCGCCTCATTACTCTTTGCACATAACGCAGATTTGGTAGATGTTTACTGCGGAATGGGCCCTGCGTTTTGTCCCCATACAGTTGGGAGCGTCCACAGGTGGCACTGGTGGGTGGCGTGTAGTTTAAATTTCTACGGGGAGAAGATTATGCACTGGTAAATTTACGGCGACAATAAATCAAACTGAACCTGACCCGAAATGGCTTGAACCGAATTCCCTAGAATTCCTTGACATAATCGATGCCAATGTCATTTCCGTAACATATTGCGATGCGCGACACATGACCAGGTGGTTTATTTTTCTTCCGAAGCCATTCTGATTTTGCCTCCAAACGAACCGTCTTTGCCCGCGCAAGAGAGCAAATCGGATGTAACTCTATTTGGTTTCATTAACGTGGGAATTTCTGCGTAAAGGCCTATGCATCCTCCCAGCATTTACGCAACAGCCCAAGCAAATGCAGAGCCACGTGGCAGCCTTCTAGGCCAAAAAGTCCTCAAAGCCTGATATGCGCCGGCATTTCTCTGACTCCTGATTCCCCTCTGGTGTATGCGCTCGCGCTCCCGGGGGAAA